CTGGCCAAAAACCACACCCTTTTTCTCTTTTTTTAAAAACCACCTTTTTTTAATGGGTTTTAACCTTTTTTTTTTTTTTTTTTTTTTTTTTCATAAATTGAGTGGTAAGAACTTTCAGCTAAAACTATGCCAGTGGCATGTTGATTGCTACAAAAAGGGTCTACTTCCTCTACAACTGAGGGTCAATAATCCAAATACAAGTGGAAGCTGAACTATCAGCTCACAGTGAAAACGGAGAGATCCGAATAAATCATTAAAAGGCACAAACTAATTTGACCTTCACGTAAATGATGGTGTGAATATAAACTTCCGATGAGAACTGCTGCTGGAAAAGAGGAGTGGGAGGCAATCCCTCTGTGGCAACCTGCTGTTCAATAATCACATTGACATTATCACTACGGTAAATTCATCCCCAACTTCTAAACGTAGTCTCGCACACCATCTTCTTTGTAATCAAATCATCTAATCAGCCTCCTAGATGTAGAAAAAACTGACTCGAATTATAAATGAATTAAATTATGAAGACACTGGAAGAGGCTAATTGGTTGCCAGGAGCAAACATTGGGTAAACGATGAAAAGTCCTACCTCACCCATCAGCCACATTCAAAACATGAAAGAAAAAGCTTGTGATTTTTTTTTATTTTATTTTATTTTTTTTGGAGTGTGCTTGAGTTCCACTCAAGCTGTTTCAGACTTATTAGTATTTACTTTCAGAGGATAAAGTGTTTTGAACTCTGATATATCTCGTCTTCAAAATATGTGAGAAAGTGTGTGAAATGATATAAAGAAAAAAAAAAACTCAAGTGAGTTCAGAGACCTGAAAGAGAAGAACAAGGATAAGTTAGAGAAAGCAGAATAACCCATAAATTGTGAACATAAGGTCAATGAACTCAGATAGGAGGGGAGAAGGATTTATATATTTTTTAAGGATTGACTGCAAGAGTGTCTTCAGTCCAGTAGAGGAACTTGCATACTTTAACATAAACCCCAGGGTAGTTGGGCTGAGTGCAGCCTTGACCCCATGACACCAGGCAATGCACTTCTCCAACACACACCAGAGGGCTGCCAGAGTCACCCTGAAACACACACACACACACACACACACAGAGTAAAAGTGTGAAGCTCCCAAACACATCCACATCTGTTGGTTCAGTTCTGGAATACTCGCATTGCATGCGTCTCTGCCTCCATCCATGTATCCGGCACACACCATCCTGCGCGTGATCATGCCTGGATAGGCGTTTTCACAGTCCTTGTCATCCACTATGGGTGCATCCAAACACTGCAGACGGGTGGGCATGTTCACTGTAACAGAAACACGATGGAGACTCACAGAAACCCCAAGTTATTCACACAGTTACGGTTGTGGATGTTGTCCAATTTGAATCACCTTCTTCGCCATCTTTAGCAGTGTCCCCCCATCCAGACACGGAGCAGGGGAGGCCTCCCATTGGACAGCCGGTGGGGTAGTGAGATGGGTGCAACTGCCTCAGTCACCTCCACTGGATGGAAGAGCTTGACCAGCATGATGACATAGTCTAGAGTCTGGTAGTCATAGCTACACATGGAGAAAACTAAAACTCAAATGCTTCTCTGCACTGATTGCATGCATAAATTAAAGATACTGAAGCTTGCTGCTGTGTTTACCACTGGTATGGAAGAAAGAAAGAAAGAAAGAAAGAAAGAAAGAAAGAAAGAAAGAAAGAAAGAAAGAAAGAAAGAAAGAAAGAAAGAAAAAAAAGCCTTTTTATTGTTACATTGTGCTGTGTTAGCATTTTTTTTGATATTCTTTCTTTAATGCTGACTTTGTGATCTGATTAGTCTTAAAGGTTGTGTCATGAAGCTTTTCTTCAGGATGAGGTAAATCAGCCATTATCTCAAAGTTATCTCCAGCTTTCTTATTCAAAATTCATGTTTTGTAGATGATGATGATCCCCAATGGTTTGGATTTTGAATCCTTTCATTCTGTGTTTGCACACAGAGCTCACTGTAGGCAAGAGGGAAATAACTGCGAAGCATAGCTCATGCTTAAAGGGAAAAGACAGGGACTGTGGACGAGTGCTGTGGTGCATTCTCTTTGGGTGCCAGATGATGGTGTCAGTCTTCATGAGTCGCTCTGTTCCCTAAAACACATGTACATCATGTTCTCCCAGGAAGATCTGCATTGAATATGGACTGACAGAAGAAACGTGCATAGCTTTGATGCAGGAAAAGACTTCCACAATCACAGATGCAATGCTGCACATGATGACGTCAACAAGGTCACGTATTTGAAGCATTTATTTATTTTACTTGTTGGTCATTAAAGCTTAAAGCTAATGGAAACTCATAATGGAGTTATCAAAAATTGTGATTAATGTGATTTTCTTTTCTTCTTTTTTTTTACCAATAAAAAATATTGTAATACAGATATGTGGGCCTCCTAAAATATTTGTCCATGTTTTGGATAGTATATGCATTTAATAGTCTTTTTGAGCCAGTGAGGCTATACACCTGTGACTCTCTATTGGTTTCTCTCATCTTCCTCTTGATAAGGGTTTAAACTTGTCCTCTACATTTATTGTCATTTCAACAAGGATAAAAATATGCAAAATTAACACCTGACAGAGCAAACCATTTCTGCATCTGTGCATACATACTTGTACCAGCAGTGTTTATCTTTTCTGTGAAACTGTGTTATCACTGGGTTTTTAGATTTGTTGCTGAATATTTAACCTCTAACTCTGTTGTCTTACCTTTCATTACATCTCTTATTTGTCCAGCCCAGACACGCCACAGCACACCCTCTAATGTCATCAGTACGTCTTCTCAAGGTTTTCACACAGTTAACTACTATTAGTTTTTTTTTAGAATTCCCCAGTGAGTTATTAATGTATGTTGCAATGTTTATAAAAAAATATAAATAAAATATAAATATATAAATAAAAAGCTGTGACAGTCAAAAATGTTTAAATAAAATATGAGGGAAAAGAAATGAATAAATAGTGAAAGTGCTGGTGTGTGGTTGTGGTTTAGGTCATCATTGAGTAAAGCTTTAAAATGTGAGAAAAAAAGGAAAATGACTAAAACTGTCTTTTTTTTTTGTTTTCACTCAAAAAAGTCAGTCAACAATTTTATGAAAAAACTAAACAGATATAAGCAGTTGGCATATTTTCAAAGTGTGTTGTTTTTACCTCGTTAAGATAATTCCTGGCTTTGTTTTCTAAAAAAAAAAAAAAAACAAAAAAAAACTCACAGACCCAAGATGTGGGTAGATATCAGGATGGATGTGAATGAGGGTGGAGGTGACAAGATGTCGAGAAGGAGGAGGGATCCAGTGGAGGTCACATAAATGCAGAGGGCAGCAGGTCATCCACATTTACTCTGGGTGTAGAAAGTCAGGAGTAAACCACAAAATGAATGTCATCTTTTTCCTGCTCCTGTGAGCTGCAGGTAAAAGTCTTTGCAGTATCTAAACATGATTTAAGATGAAGGAATTTGCAGAAACTTGAAGAAGATGTGCACTTTGCTGATGTCACAGCTGCAGCCGCCCTGGACGACAAGATAGTTGGAGACGACCAGTGTGAAGCCCATTCTCAGCCCCGGCAGGCGTCCCTCAATATCGGCTATCATTTCTGCGGAGGCTCTCTCATTAACGACCAGTGGATCATCTCTGCTGCCCATTGCTGGCAAAAGTGTGTACTACACCCACAGCACACAAATGCCTCAATTTAACTTTTCAGAATGAAAATCATGTGTTGCTTGTCTCCCTTTCAGCCCTTATTCACAGATTGCCATTTTGGGTGAGAATCACATCTGGATGCATGAAGGTACTGAGCAGTTCATGGCTGTTGATGCCATCTACTGGCACGGGAGTTACGATTACCAGACCTTCGACTATGACATCATGCTGATGAAACTGGCACATCCAGTGGCAATCAATGAGTATGTGAAGCCTGTTGCTCTGCCCAAAGCCTGTCCCTCACCTGGAGACATGTGCATGGTGTCTGGATGGGGGAACATCTACACTGATCAAGATTTGTTTGTGTTTTTCTTCTAATCTCGGATGTATTACTGGCTTAGCAGGAGTAGCACATGAATAATATTAAATTATACTCACTTTTGCATATGTGCAGAAAACCAATGATGTCTGTGCATTTTTCACATCTCTATATCAAATATTACTTGTTTCAGGAAGACAATAAAATGTATTTGTTTATTTCAAATATACATTTTAAGCAGACTTGATCTTAGATTTTAGCTTTTTCTTATGGATATTTGCAAAAAGATATCATTTTTAAATTTTCAGTATTGAATATTGAGAATTTTCTATGAAATTATGCAAAAGCTTCAGTCATCTTTACACTAAATACTGTCGTTTGAATAATAGACATGCATATCTTTCTACCTACCTATTTAACTGGTTTTTTAAGTAGTGCGTAATAGTAAAATGAAAGAAAAATTGCTTGAAATTCTATCGATTATTTTAGAACCTATGCTTGAAAATATGGCACGTTTATATTTAGTCTACATGGAGAAATTCTTCCATTCTTCTTTGCTGAACACACCAGCTGCAGTGCAGTGGAGCTCAGTCATTTCTGCCGCTGCTGCCATCTTTCACCAAAGACATTGTGTGCTTAGAATGCATTAGTTTCTCCCACAATTGAATTACAGAGAGACCAGAAAATTTGATTTCAACAGCATTAAATGTCCAACATTTCTTTTCACTTTTTTGACGGTTTATTACGTTAAATTGAAATACAATGCATTTAATTTGTGGATATAGCACTACAAAATGTGGAGTAACTCAAGGGGTATAATTTTCCACTTACATATCAGTGATGTCGCTGAGATTTTTCTTGCAATATTTTTTTTTTTTTAAATGTTTTTTCCAACTTCTCTCAAATTACAGTGTTCAATCCATTTTACCTCCAGTGTGTGGAAGTGGCCATACTGTTCGACAAGGAATGTGAGAACTCCTACCCCGGCATGATCACTGAGCGTATTGTGTGTGCAGGATATCTGGGGGGAGGCAAGGATGCTTGTCTGGTATTTTATGCACAATTGCACAAAAATGGATCGACTGTATAACTCTTTGAAGGATTTTTTTTTTTCTTTTTTCCACCTCACTTTGTCCTGCTCAGGGTGACTCCGGCGGCCCTCTGGTGTGTAATGGAGAGCTGCAGGGAATAGTGTCTTGGGGTCAGGGCTGCACTCAACCCAACTACCCGGGTGTTTACACCAAAGTTTGTGCTCTCATGCCCTGGATCAACGAGATTCTTTCCAGATACAGCTAAGGCTGTGATCTCATTTTACGAAACAACAGGAAGAAGAGGAAATTAGGGGAAATAAACGGAGGCATAAATAATCAGGAGGATGTTGAAGATGGTTCAGAAAAAAAAAAAAGAGCAGTAGAGCAGAAAAGCTGCTATTGGTAGAATGAATCATTTAAAACCAGTGAGATTCAAACATGCATACATCAGAATAATCAGACAATGGCTGAATTGAGCTAACTGTAAACAGAATGTGCATATCTCAATGGTGGTCTTTTGTTTAACAATAGCTCTGCTTTTCTTCATTAATCTGATGAATTTGAATCTGTTTTGACAATATCAAAGAGAAACGGTTTTATCTCTACCAACAAGAAGTTAATTTGTTTTTAAAATCCATATTTGGTATCAGAAGATCACTTTGAATTTACTTTTTGCTAATTTGGGACATTTTACTGAACAAGACCCACACTATTCTGCTGCTGCAACATCCATAAAGAGAAAAAAAAAATCCATCTGTCATTTTTTTTCCACCCTTTTTGCCATAAGTGGAGTCTAAAAGCCTTCTACTTTGAAGCTTTCCTCAACCAAACAAATAAAGATAAGTGCTGCTTTCTGCGCTCTATTTCTGCGTGCACCCTCTTTCTAGAATGTTCCAGTAAGTGTAAGCTGAAAAGTGTATCATGTCCAGGATTATTATGTATGCCTTGAAACATAAAATCAGTTTTGATTTTACTTTGCTTTCCTCAGTTTCCATTATTTTTAATGCAACATCACAAGAATGAGAACAGATGGTATACAACCTAATATATCAATATTAGCACACATTATGTTAACCTTCACTCCTGAGTTCCTTTCATTACTGAAATCTTGATCAGAAAAACAGATTTCAGTTGTGAAATCTTTTTAGAAGGTTCACTTTGTTGTGAACTTCTTAAGAAAAAAAACACATAAAAGACACTCAAAAAAGCACAATAAGTTGCAATAAGTTTAATTTCATGCAATATTAATTGTGTTGCAGCAATACCTGTAAGTAAGTGGTGTTTTTTGTTTGTTTTTTTTTGCGACAGTCTTTTTTATTCTTGAGGCAAATAAACAATAAAACATTGTTTAAATCCACCTCGTCATTTAGTAAAAAAATAATTAAACGAATATTAAATAAAAAGACTAAACCCACAATTTGATGGACACCATGATTAACTTGCAAAGCACATGGTTCGGCTCACCAGTCACCAATTTTGAATTACCTTCTTTTTCTTAAGGTTTGTTGAAGCTCCTCTCTCTGCTACCTTGTCATTGGCTTAAATTATTTAGAGAGAACCTGTCTGATCAATGTTTAAAATATGCCAAAAGCCAACATACAGTGCCCCAATCTGAAGAAATAAGAAAAAAAAATTGACAGCTAAGAGTGTGAAAATAAGTGAAAAGTCTTATCTAAGGCTTTGGGACTCCAGCAAATCACTGTATAAACTCATCCATCCATTCTCTTACACCCTTATCCCGTTGGGGTTAGGAGGGATGCTGGTGCTTACGTCCGGCTCTCAACGGGCGAGATGCGGGGTAAACCCTGGACAGATCACCAGTCCATCGCACTGGAAGAACCATTATCCACAAATGAAGAAAACATGAAACATCGGTTAATTCAATTCAAATCAGTATATTTACCGCACCAACTCACAACACACTTCATCTCAATGCACTTTACCAAAAAAAAAAGTAAATTCAGTCCAATCATAAATCCATTCTAATTAATCCAATACTGGTTGTCAAACAATGCAGTCAACACTTATACCAACACTCCATAGACGACCCTTTACCTGAGGTCCCAAAACACCCACCAACATTTAGAATCCTGCAGAACTCACAAGTCATTAAGATGCTGAATTTTGTTAAGGATATGAAAAATAGATGTATTAGAAAAGTGCGAAAATAGTTTGTCAAACTGAACATATTACGTTAAACTGTGTGGCCCAGGTGAATAGATTGGATCACTTAGTTGTTAGCCCTGGTACAGCCAGTTGTTAAAGCTACAGACCTAAAAGAGAATAAAATCAGCGAAAGTTCAGATAAAGTTCAGCCTTACTTTAATTCAAATATTTCTTTTCTGGTTGAAAGTTGGCCTGGCAGTTCTTCTCTGAACATCCAGTACCCCAGGATACAACATCCTGCAGCTCACCGTTGCACAGGAGGGCCACCAGAGTCATTCTGGGGACAAAGTGTTTGGATTCAGTTTGAAATTCTAATAGAGCTCAATGTGGATTACTAAGTGTTTAATATGCTGATTCATAAGCCCATTTAAATACCTGGCAAGCGTCCTTTGCCTCCCTCCAGACATCCCGCACAGAACACGGAACTGTTGATGATGCCAGGGTGTGAGTTTCTGCAAACACTACAGGGATGTCTACACACTGCAGCTTAGGATCATCAACAGCTAAAGAACAAAACAGATCTGAGGATGCGTTAAGGATGCAGAGTCTTGAAGTTGCTGGCCTAAAAGGTGTGGTTTTCATTCCCACCTTTGTCATCTTGCTTACATCTTGGTTGTGCGCTGTTGTTGGCCCAGGCTGGATTCGGGTCTGAGACAGTCTGTTTTGGTAGATTTTGTTTCCTAACAGAGAGGAGGCCGAAAGCACTCTCTCTATATGCATGGAAAAGTCAATCAGTCAGTCCCACTATTTACTAAGCACAAACGTATGTTGACAAAAAAGTGGTTGTTTTAACCTCTCTGTTTGGAGGTAGTTGCATTTCTATTCATAAAGAGGAAAAGGTAAACAGAAAATAACATTAATTTAAATGCAAAATCCTAAATAAGATGAATATGTAAAATCAATATTGTATATTTTTTTTGTTAGTTTTACATTGCCAGAGTATTAATGTTCCTACCAAATCTATTTTTAGACATCTCACAGCTGTGCGTTTCCCAGCCGCAAATTCCGTCATGGAAGTTGTGAGATCCTTGTAAAGTTTATTTTTCTTTCCAAATAGCATTTGGAACAGCGTGAAATGGAAAATAAGAAAGTATTTTACATTTTTAAAAATAGAGGAAATAGTAATATCACATGCCAAAAAGTCATTTAGGTATTTAGGTACAAAGATGATCTTGAAGCGGAGAAATGCAACTACGACTATTCTCAGATCCTCAGTTACGTTCATATTCACCATCTTTCTCTCCTCAAAACGTTTCTGTTTGTAAGTTTCATTAAGAGAATGACAGATTTTTTTTTTCTGCATAGTGTTTGAGGAGTCTGTAGATATTCCTGTCAAGTAGAACAGATGGGGTTTTCACATAATCCCATCACTTCCAATGCAGTAGATCCAGTCTGTGTCAGTATTAATCACTAACCCAGTTGTTGAACCACCATAAGGATTTCTGGCATAATATTGAATTTGTTTTCTGGAAATCCATCATATTAATTCATCAAACTTTTATTTTTCCACTAATTGATAAGAAAGAAGTTACTGTGGGAAAAATGTGTGCATTTGCTCAAATCTGTGCGTCAAACTTTAGTAGATTTTCACCATTGGTCTTTTAATACTTTACTTCATTACATGTTGACTGAAAATACTGATCAGCCATCTAATTAATCTAATTGATTAATTAGATGGCTGATAATTAGGCCATCTAATTCATCAATTAATTAGATGGCCTATTTCAAGCCCAACAGTGTAAAATGATGAACATAAAATATTAAACATTAAAAATATCAGCATTGAATACTAAGAAATTACTGAGTAAGTGTGATATGTTAAAGCTATGTTCATGTAAATGAGGCCTTACTGATGTATATTTTTACTTGAAAGAAAAATATAGTCAATAATTATTTGTGAAGATGTGAATTACTTGGTCAAAATTGCCACAAACAAGTTGCAGATTTTGTGATATTGAGTGTCATTCTACATGAGTTGTACCTTTCCAGAGATTTCCAAATAAATATGTCTCCGACACAGTTTCATGGTTAAAGTTAATCTGTGTTAATCTGCTTTAAAATAAATTGAAACCATATAGAGAATATATTTTCATTTCCAACTGCATATCTGAAGGCCAACCATCTGCACAAAAAGATGTTTGTTTTTCCAACAGTCAGTGGGTTTGTTCTGGAAGGTGGTTGGTCACAGATAACAGTGGGAGGTTTCCTCATAAGAAAAGCTCAAACCACCTTCCTATATAAACCAGGACTGCAGACGAAGTTCTCTCATCAATAAGATCACTCAGCAACCATGAGGTCTCTGGTGTTTGTTCTGCTCATTGGAGCTGCTTGTAAGTTTGCCTTTT